TACCCACTTAGTGATTGAAAAATATATATAGTGTAACACAACAAGAAGGGGAGAGGAGAGCTGTTGAAATATCAGATCTGCTTTCGGGCTAAAATAAAGAATCGATTAGCAGTATACGACTTCAATGGAAGTCTTGGCCATGGGGAAAAATTAATTTAAAAAAAAATTAAAAAAAGGAATCGATAAGGAATATCGGAACTTGTCCGTATTGCAACACCTTACTTAGCCGTATGGTAGCCGTACGTGCTAAGGCGCTTGCAATAGGTAATCAAAGTTAAGCAACGTAGAGCATGGTTACTACTTGGAAGGGTGACCGCTCGATTTGGGTGACCGTCCACCAGGGAAAGATAAGCTGCCCGAGTCTCCCCCCCCCTCGAGTAAGCGAGAACCGTCAGTCTACTGGAGGCAATTCACACCAACGGGGCGTAGGACTGATGACCCTACCCCCGTGTACTTAATTGGGAATCGGAATATGGTCTACCAGGATGTTAGTAGCCTCCCTGAGGTTCGGTCCATGGACGGTCTGTTTCGGGAAAAGAAATACAGATCCTTGTGCGCCTGCTGACTCCGAGCAGTCGTAATCCATGGCTCTAGACCGATATGTCACTGTCTTTGAACCCGAATGAGTCGATGGGACATTGCCAGATTGGCCCCAAAGAATCGGGTATGGAGCTACGGGTGGCCTGCCGCTGCACCATGGAGACGATGGTTCGTAGCAACGTGAGGTTGGGTGACCCCCTCCAGGCTATCTGAGCTTCCGCAAGCAACATAAGGAGACCACATCTCGCGGCCAAAGATCTTCATGGTCTTTAGTACCAACCGAAAAAAAAAAGAAAAGAATATATATGTATATAATTATAAATACTTTCATTGATTCATATTTTTTTCTCAGATTTATTTGACCCATATACCTATTCGATGATAATATCTACTGTTTTTAAATTATATCAATATAGAGCCACTAAATAAAAAATGTGCCAATAAAAAAATATTTTAAAATTGTTCCTAAAAGTATTATTATTCCTGTAATTTTTTTTTTATTATTTTTAAAAAATATTTATTGAGAAATATTACAATCGGTCTCAGTTAAGGAAACTTATAATATAGTTCAGAGAGTACATTCACAACGTATATACAGAAACATAAATAAATAAAGTAATAACAAAAGAATACATAAAAATAAGAAAAAAATAAAATATTATAAGGAGAGTGAAAAAAAATATATATATATATACATAAGTAAGTAAAGATAAAAATAAAAGTAAAATGAACATCTTAGATACAAGCATACCTGTATACGCTATTTACATTCAGCCAGGAAAACTCCGAACCAATCTTGTTCCCCCACTCGTGGAGGGAAAAGCGAGGTTTAGGAGATCCCTGCGCTTCTTCCTCAACCACTTCACTGATATTTAAAACCAGCGGAGGATGAGTAAGAGCGCTACAACCACAGACACTCATTACTTGAGTGGAGAATCTGGCCATTGCTGGAACTCCAACATATCCATGTTTACAAAAGGTCTTAGGGCCACCGCCGCTTTAACCTATGAGGGGTGTTGTGGGGATGGGTGGTGCCTGATAAAGATTGTACTACGGGATTTGGAATAAGATTCTAGTGAAATTCGGAAAACATTTGTGGCTAAGAGAAAGCCAAGATACCAGGCAGTATCATTCCTGTAATTAATGATTTTTAATTTTTATTATTATCTCTTAATTTTACACATATACAATGGTGTTTAAGTTATGTAATAGTTGGGGACCTATTAGGTCAGCCAAAAATACATTTGTATATTTTCTTAATTATTTGATATTTGTGAACTTCCTGACAATATTTGCTGTTCCCAACAACACCGCTTGTTGCATTCTTTCGATCGTCTGAGATGGTAGTTCCAGTTGTCGCAGAGAAGATACAGTTTCTTCCGGTATCAGTCCGTTGCACGAGATTACAATTGGCAGAATTCGGGTTTCCTTCAAATGATATAATTGTTTGATCTCTTCAGCCAATTCTACGTACTTTCTCTTTTTTTCCGCTACTACCTTGTGTAGGTTATCATCAGAAGGAACTCCAATCTCTATGATAAACGCAGATTCCTTACCGTTATCTATTATAAGAATGTCTGGTCTATTGTGGGGGATGGTGTGATCTGTCAGGATCGGTTGATCCCAGAACACCTTGACATTGCGTATGGAGTTAATTGGTTCTGGATGGTATTTATAATACGGACAATACTTATCGACGAGTTCCATTTTCTGAGCCATAGCTTGATACACTACCTTAGCTGCATTGTTGTGTCTCTGCAAGTATTCCTTACCCGCAAGTATTGTGCATCCCGATGTTACATGTTGAATTGATTCAACTGCCTTTTTGCATAAGCGACATAAGTCATCGATGCCCTCTCCACATATATGTTTTCTGTATGCTTTTGTGGCTATTACCTGTTCTTGAATAGCAAACAAGAATCCTTCTGTCTCCGGAAAGATACTTCCACTCTTCAGCCATGTCAATGACGCCTCAGCGTCCACTCCTACATCCATTAATTGAATGAGTGATAAAATCGTCCGTGTAAAGGTTTATTTTTCCATATTTCTGATCGAGTGCCATCATCTGCTTCACTAATCGGGATTCCAGGGCTTCGTAAATTCAAAGCTGTATGATTTATATCTAATGATGCGATAGTTGAAAGGATATTGGAAGTATGGTTTATAATGTAGTCGCGAAGATTATTTTCTTCCTTTCGGCATAAATTCAAGAGGCTGATCAGACCACGCCCTCCGGACTTCCTAGGAAGATACAATCTCACTACAGATGACTTTGGATGCCTCTTCCTTGAAAGCACCATCTGTACTCTAAGAAAACGATCCAACCATTTATTATTATTATCATTATTATTTTTTTTCTAGTAGGGTGTCAAGGACCTTTTAAACATCATTTTATACCTTTGTTTTCTTGTTCGTGCACCGTAATTATACACTCCTGTTTTTGAGCAGGTAAGGGGGGAGGGGAGAGAGAAATAGAAAAATAGCCGGTTAGCGATTGTTGTTGTAATTTATAAGAAATAGTATAGAGCTTATGGTTAATTATATAAAAGTTCTTTAAATCGTCTTCAAAGATTTAAAATAAAAAATATGTATATATCTTAACCAGAGCTATCTTACTGGAAATATCGAAAAATATTTCCTGTATTGAACATTGCACCCAAAACGGTCAGGGATCTTGTGTGATTTGTCTTACCAGATACCTTTAATATATAAGTGTTGAGAAATAATAAATAATTGTGAAATGATTTGCAATACTCATATTTAGGGAACAGATAGTGACGGTTAAAGTGTATTTATAATTCTTAAGCTACTATTTATATTAGTTACTTTATATTTTATTAGAATAAGCTATCGAAGAATAAGAATAATCGAATGGATCAAAGTATTGCGTCTACTCAAATCCGTCGACCGTTGTAACAATATTTCTAAAACTTTCTTAGGAGAGAAAATATAGGTTGAGAATCGCGTCACGAAATATAGTAATGGGAATCTCCTTACCAGCGGTAACCTTGGCTGATTCACTCTTCAAGTAACCTTTATTTCTATTTATAAACTACGAGTGGTGTAACTTCTACTTTTATTTTGATTTTTTTTTTTACTTTCTTTCCTACGTTTTGAACGTTATAAAATGATAAAAATCTCTCTTTGAAAATTTTCTTCCTCAAGTGATTTCAGGTTTTCTGTCTACTAAACAACTATTAATATATTTTCCTGGAAGAAGTTTTTATCAGTGTTTATTTCGTCGAGTTGGAATCTACAGTTTCCATTATGCAAATGGAGTAATACTAAAACGGCCTCAAAAAGTATTTCCAGATTATAACGATAGTACAGATTCTAAATATAAGAGAATTATTCACTATGAAAAAATTCAAACAGCCCCCCAATAGTTAACAATATAGTATAGACAATATACCCAATATAAGCTCCGATTCAATATCATGAATGGATGCAGAATTTCATGGGAGGGAGGTTTAGCGAGTTGTAATCTCAGTTTTCGTCTTTCTTTAAAAAATAGATAATGTCAATATAAAAATGTGGTTAACCTTATGAAAACATTTCACAAGGCTTCTAAGGGCGGATCTACGAGAGGGGAGAGGGTTTCGGGCTGAAGCCCTCTCCCCCCCCCCCCCAAATGGTAAAATATAATCATGTTTTATCGAAAAAAATATTTAAAAAGTATTTCTTGAAGTATTATTGTTCGTGTAATTACATTTAAAAGGGCTTTAGGAATCACTTAAACACCATTTCATACAGGCAGTTAGTTTCTTTCTTTTTTTCCAATGTAATTATCGTTATTTTTATGAAAAAAAAAAACTTTCGGGCTGAAGTCCCCTCAAAAATAAATTCTGGATCCACTGGATCAATACCTAATTGCGTTATGAAGATTTTTCATGATATGAAAGCACGGAGGTTAAGATGGGCGGGGCATGTAGCTCGTAGCAATCCATCTGGAAGCCTTTATGTAAAAATGAAAGCCTCAACAGAACGCAAAAGACCACATGGAAGGCCAAACGCAGATGGATAGATAGAATAAAAAAAGATGCAATAGAACTGATTGCAGATAAATGGAAAGAAATAGCCCAAGACAGGCAGAGATGGAGCAGGCTTGTTAAAGCGGCAAAAGATCTACATGATCTGTAATATTAACAGGAACAAATTATTAGCAAAGATACTTCCTTTTGAAATTTGGTCATTTTCTGCTTATTACTTTCAATAACGAACCAGTGTTGGTGACTAAGAAATAGAAAAATTCTCAGTCTTATTTCATACTACAGTCACTTATTGTTATATATCTATTTGTGCACTGACTGGTGGTATATTGTGTGAATGCAACACGGTCAACTAGTTCATATAAAACAACTTATAATATTAATAATTAAGAGATGCTTAGCTTCATCGAACATCCTGATCAAATAACGATTTCCAAAAGCTCCCCGCGCTAATACTTCCGAAGGATTTCTTTATCGAATTATGCAAATGGTGTGTTGTGGTTGGAGCGGATGGTGCATCGGCGAAGCAAGGGCAAGGTAGGTCAACGAGCTCAAGGACGGCCGATTAGAGCCCGGACTCAGCTCGTTCCTAATCTGCAACTTGAGTTTAAACCCGATTGTTCTAATCCCAGGTCAGCATACTGTTTTTAATCAATATTCCTTAAAATATTTTAATTAGGCTAATTTGTCTTTTAATGGGCATGACTGCGGCAAATATTATGCCTATAAATATGCTCTTAATAGATTTACAAGAATCGAAAGAGAACCTGTACTGAATTCATCCATTTTCCGACAAAATTATATTTCCGATTTCATTGAATATTTGATTTTAATTGTCATAAATATTTAAACGGTGTAACAAAAACTCCTCTTTAAAAAATAAATGACAAGGAATATAAGTTTAACAAGAAAGTTTAAGGAAAACCTTATCCATGCTAATTATGATGTAGAAAAACTCTGATGTGAAAAAGTGTTTCATTTAAAATAAAGTTAAATTATTGCGTCTTTTCTTTAAACGTAAATGAATATAAAATTTAATAATCTCTGGAGTACTTAGTTTATATCCATTATATCTGTCTATAAAGTGTCACATGTAAGTAATGACAGATCTCTTTTTCTGTCCGACTCTGATGGTCGATGTGCTGTTTGGTCACAATGATGTATTGTGTTCAGTCACGTAGAATTCCTAGTTGAATTGGTTTAGGTTTGTTTCCCACATCATACCTAAGCCTTAGAAAAATATCGATATGGTTTTACTTTAGATTGGATTAAAATCGGGATCAAAATTATGCGGTGTTGCATAATATGGAAGATATAAATCTATTAACATTTTAGCTGTGCCGTCCTTAGATATTTGTCATCTTTACCCCTTCCATAATAAATTTAATTTATTTCTTAAGCTATTTCATATTAAGCAATATTTGAATTTTATGTCACTCAACACTTCTCTAACACAGTTGCTTTATTGATAGGAGAAAATTAATTATTTATTACGTTTTGTATTTTATTTTAATTTCTAACAAGTGGCGAGCCTCCCTAACGACCGGCACTGCTTTTTAGTTATAAAGTAATTGCCCTGTTAAAAATAACCACCTCTGACTTTGTGACTGGGAATTTCCAGTCGACAATTTGATTAAAAATCAGCCCAGATCAAAAGCTACCTCAAGAAAGCGGGGTCGGTCGGAAATATATTAGTTATTTTATTTTTTATTTGTAATGTACAAGTACATATTGATCCAATTGTTAAAAGTCCAAATTTTTGACAGTTGATTTTACCGGCCTCAGAACTTAGCAGCATTTTCCAACATGTTAACTAAAGATGGTATGAAGAAAAATTAATGTTCTTCAACATTGGTAAAAACATCTCTTTGTTTAAAAGCATTGAAAGCGAGTTACTGAGGTAAAACTGAAAACAAGTATTTTTTTTTCTCAGTGGGCTTCTTTTATATGGGAAGAAACATGAGAAGTTAGAGATCGAAAACTTGGATATTTAAAGAGGGAATCAATACAACAAATCTGAAAATCAAAATTATCTTTTGCAAATCAACCCCGGTTATTTTTTTCTACCCTTTTTGACTAGCCTAAATTAAATTTGAAAACATTCAATTTGAGATTCCTAAGTATAAAGTAACTGATGGTTATTTCTCATTTACGTTGCTAAGTGCTTTTTAAATAATTGTTAGCATTGCATCTTTTGGTTCAATGTATACGTTGCTGCACTCCATCTTTTTTTTTTTCAATCTATTTGGTAACAAATCTATTCTAACCAAAATGAGAAGGTCGAGATTCATTCCGTGGGTTCAATCGGCAATACTAGACTCGAGATTGTTAAGATTACGACGTCACTATCTGCAATCGGCAGCCTTCTTGGTTCCTTTGATGGATGGCAAAGAATGTGTCTTATCATATCCTTCCAATAATTTAATAACCTACGAATATAAGAAATTTTACACACGGTAAAAACTTTTTTTTTTTAATTGAATAATAATACAATCAGCCACTGTTATAAGTAATTTAAGATTTGAAAATTTACTCCAAACTCCGAAAATGCTAATAAACTATTTTTTACTAAAATTGAAACTAAATTTTATAACCGATATAATGATATTGCCATTTCTAGTTAAGAAATTGAGATTTTATCCATACTATGTGTTTGAATAGAAAAATAATAAATTCATAAATGAGAAGACGTTTCAGTATTTGAAATATTTAAGCACTCAGTTTTGAGTTAATTTTGGATTGAAAAAGTCTAATATTGTATCTCCTGAGCATTGAATTCTAAAGTAATGTAGCTTGTGCTTGAGGTTTCTGCGACTGGTAGAAGTGTCTCATTCCCAGCCTTGAGTTATTGTTGCCCAACAATGTGATAAGCTGAGTAACAAAATTTGTCATTTAATGACAAAGGTCGTCAGCCATCTTTTGATTGCAAAGAAGAGTTATATTTTTAGATTCTAACGAATTTGTAAATATTAAAATACATTGAACAGATTAAGAAGAAGAACTATTAAACTGAAAAATAAGTTAAATAATTTCCATATAATAGTTCAAGGATTTACCATTATATATCATACCGGTAAGCACAAACGGATCTATGGAGGAAGGGAAATTTTGGAGTGAAGCCTCCCTCCTCCTCCCAAACTGGTAAAATATAATCATGTCTTATGAAAAAATTATTGAAGGAAGTTTGTTTGCTTGTTTGTTGTTTTATAGGCGTAAGACCCTCAGGTCATCAACGTCTTATTGAAGGAAGTTAGTCGACTGTTCTATATATCATAGGTGATAAATAGTCAGGACGAAGTCAATTTAAAGGTTGCAATTAGTGCAGACATTTCAACCCATCAGAGATATAATATTATAACATAGATAATGGCTAATAATAAAAAAATAGTGATGGATGATACATGAAATAGACAAATAAAATAAGTCTATTTCATGTATAATCCATCATTATTTTTTTCATTACTAGCCATTATCAGTTTTATAATAATATATCTCTGATTGTATCAAACAATTTTTCAGCCCTTATGATGTTGGATTTGAAACGTCGGCAATAATAAAAATCTTTAAAATGACTGCGTCCTGACTATTTATCATCAATCTTATGAAAAAATTTTAAAGAAATGTCTTTAAAAATATTATTGTTCGTGTTTATTACATTTAATAGGAATTCAAGAATCACTAATACACCATTTCATATAGCTTCTTTCTTTTTATTCCAATGTAATTATCGTTATATATATTTTTTAAAAATGTTTTCTGACTGGAGTCCTCTCCCTTCCCAAAATTAAATGCTGGTAAGCACTAGCGGATCCAGGATTTAATTTTGGGAGGGGGGAGGCTTCAGCCCGAAAGCTTTTTTTTACATAATAAAAAAGATAATTACTTGAGAAAATAAGAAAGAAACTAACTACCTATATGAACTGTTGTTTAAGTAATTCCTAAAGCCCTTTAAAATGTAATTACACGAATAATTATACTTTAAGAGATAATTTTTTTCGATAAAACATAGTTGTATTATACCATTTTTTTGGGGGGGAGGGAGGGGCTTCAGCCCGAAAGTCCCCGCCGTAGATCCGCCCGCGCTGGTAAGTATAACAAATTCGCTCCATTATCTATAATAGGTACACAGTTTTATATTTCACTTATATGTTTACTTAGTACATTGTTCATTACATATAATATTCATTAACAAAAGCGTATCATGAAGTAACGTTGAGAAAGGTGTTTACCTTCATCGAATAATGCTATTAACGCATTTCTCAATAAATGCGAACCAGGCGCCAAATAAGTTTCTATTGATATCATTGTTAAGTTTGAACTTCCCTGAAGAGATAAAGACTCATTGTGAAGAAAATAGCATACATAAAACCAAGCGGAACTGTTTCAGATGGGGAGACTCACTTCTGCACTAGCGCTCCTGGTGGTAGCGAGCGTAGCATTTGGAGCCAAGGCACCGTCCAAGACTGTCATGCATCCCGCCTTCAGCAACGCCGGCCGCAAAGAAGGCATCGAGATATGGAGGATTGTGGTGAGTCATTCATAATATAAGATTTTATTAATACATTTTTAAATTTTAAACTTATTTCAATATCATTCAAAAACAAAAAGTTTATTCAGAAATAAAAAAATTAAAATTTATAAACAATTTAATGACGATGACCATTAGCTTCGGATTTTAAAAAATATTAGAAGGGGGCGAAGCTTAAAACGACTTAATGTTATACAATTCTTACTTGTACGGTTTATTTAATTATTTTGAGATGTTTTTTTAAGCAAATAGTAATGAATTATTGGAAAGACTGTCAAATTCTGACTCCTCTTCATAAGATTGGGAGGCAGAAAGAGACCCTACAGTGATAATATTTTTACTAATTGTATATTTAATTTAATTTAATTTTCCATGATTAGTTTCTTAATTATAAAAAAACAGTTTCATTTTCTCGTTTTTAAAACATCACTTTTTTAACCTATAACTGCAATATTTTAAATAAAGGTTAGCAATGAAATCAGATATATTTATTAAAATTAAGTGGCAACACTGCTGAATCCGTAAAGTCACTTCTCTTTAATGTGTTTTATTGTTTTATTTATTAGGACTTGATGAAAAATTTACGTAATGTTTATTAATATTAACTTTTGTACTTACATTAAGAACTTGAGGTTTCGGGAACATTTACTTCAGTGAAATACTGATAAAATAATATTTTAATTTTAGTATGACATAAAACATTTGTTGAAAAAAAAAAATGTGAATTACTTTTCTTTAGAATTAGTTGTATATTATTTATTTATGAACCATGTTACCAATTGGCCAATTTATTTAAAAATTGCTAGAAGAGGGGGGTGGGATAATGTTGGATTGACTGTACCTTTGATCAACCTGACCACATCCTCCTTTTATTAATGCTCTCCAAAGTTTCCAGAAAATTCTAAAACTAGGCATTATCACACAATAATGATCACAGAAATATAACAATTATAGTGATTTGTTTTTTAAAAAGGGACACCAGGTTCATTAACAATGAAGTTTCAAATTGATTTATATATTTTGTTTTAAATGTTTATAATATTTTAAAACTACTGTAATAGTAATCTTTGTATAATTATGTGAGAGTGGGATAGCGCAGTGGTAGGGCGCTGGGTTTTCAATCCAGATAAATTATTTATTCTGATTCATCGGCCGGGAATCGATCCTGGGTTCTTGAGACTAGGAGCAAACCCAGCCTCTATAAAGTCGGTACCCTTAATTAAATAAGTAATTATTTGATTTCTTACATCCTTTTACAACCATTGACCAAGAAACAGCACCTTCCCTACTTAGTACTGAACCCAACAGCTTCCTTGGGTTGTAGTGGTGCAGCTTTGGTCTTGGTATAGTTGTTGTGAAATGGCATAAACATAAAAATAATGCATTTTGAATTTATTATTCTTTATTTGAATAATTTGATATTTAAAAGTGATGTCCCCATAATAATACAAATTATTTTGTATAATTTTCTAAAAATTTGATAATAGGTTTTATTCCACTGATAGAAATTAGAAATTCAGTCTTTTTTTTCTATAGTTAGTATTTCAATATTATTTCATTTTTTTGTTTTACTCAGGGAGGGGGGCGATTTATCCATTGTTATCGATTAGCCTTATTTGTACCTGTCCTTGTCATGATAGTCGCCGACTTATGAAAATTATTTGGGCCAGAATTCTAAGATCACGGGGTGGGGGAAGGCTTGGAAGGCGGAACTATTGCTTAGAATATATTTTATATACCTATAGGCAATATATAGCATACGCCTGTATGAAAAATTACCATCCTGGCGGATCCAGGATTTAATTTTAGGAGGGGCTTCAGTCCGAAAGCTTTTTTTTTTTTCATAAAAATAACGATAATTACTTAGGAAAAAAAGAAAGAAACTAACTACCTATATGAAATGGCGTTTAAGGGATTCCTAAATTCCTTTTAAATGTAACAATAATTTTAAGAGTTAATTTTTTAATATTTTTTCCATAAAACATGGTTATATTTTACCATTTTTGGGAGGGGAGCTTCAGCCCGAAACTCCCCCCCCCCTCCCTCCACGTAGATCTCCCTTGCTCTTTATTGATAATTTCTAGTGCCGTCTTATGAACTCCAGAAACCTGAGCGTATCTGTGGTAATATTGGAATAAATCGTTTTTTTTTTTTTTCAGTGATTTAATTTAACATTCCATATTTCATCATTTCTTTTTTCATATTTTTGATCGTCATAAAGTTATAGTTTTGCATCAAATACGACGTACATTGACGGAAATTCAAAAAGAATTTGAAAGTTCTATTTATGAAATTTATTATGTCATAAAAAAATAAACAAACTGGGGACTGCAAATGTCTAAGCAGGTCTAGAAAACATTGTCCATCTGCTGAATAACATTTAAAGTTATTTTGTTTGCACGACCGCTAAAAAACAAGCAGAGAAATGGAACAGTAAATAGTTCCGAATTTCTTGAACAGAAGAAAACTCCTATCGTTTTGCCTTAAAGGTTTTATCGACAGAAGAAAACCATTTTGTCGAAATCTAAGCAAGCGAAAGTGATGTAAGTTTACCAAAGATCACGAAAATCGTACGGAAGAAGAATGGAATACATTTTTATGGAGAGATGAGACAGAAGAAGAGATATTTGGCTCCGGAAGGAGTCAGTATGTTTTAGATGATCTGGAGTAGAATTTTAGGATCAATGTTTGCAACCATCAATAAAACAGGGGAGTGGCTTCTTAATGGTTTGGGGTTGTTTCTAAATCTGGAGTTGCAGATCTCTTGCGGAAAATGGGTGCAAAACGGTACCATAGTATCTTTACATCACGTATAATACCATCTCGGCTTAAGCTGATCGGGTAGAACTTTATTTTTCAACAACATAACGATCAAAACATGATATTTTGCCATTTTCTAAAGTAAAAGTAACATAAAATAGGAAAAAATAAATAAATTGTGTAATATTAAATTGAATTGAAAATCTTTAATATTATAACAATTTTCACTGATATAATCGTCTTTCTAGAGTTTATACAACGGCTCTTGACATTAACAATAAAGATTAAAGACTGTACAGAATAATAAAGTTGTGATATTTAAACAATAAGGAGGATAAAAAAAGTCAACACAATGGATTGGTCCCTTGGCTTGTTATTAAAACACTTTTAACTTGAAACATTTATCATTTTTATAAACATTTGGTTTGTTTTAAGACTTTTTCACATTTATGACAATAGGTTCTTGCTGGAGGTGTATTTCTGGATGTAGTTCTAGTGAACAACGGGTCGCAATTAGCATATTGCGCTATCTCTCATTAGGAAGGAAATGAGATATTTACGAAAAAATGAACTATAAGAAAATAAATTGTGAATTTGTATTAGTGGACAATATCTGTTAAACATTAAAAAAAAAAAATAGTAATTTTTTATGATTAAGAATCAGGCTTCATTCCACTGGTTTCTCTCCTAAATATTATTGATCAAGAGATTACCCAAATAATAAACGCTAAATTTAAAATGTTTTATGTTCATGTTTGTGCTAATAACTTATTTAATTCACAAAATCGATCAATTATATTTTCGAAATGGCTAATTTTTTTTTTTGGGGGGGGGAGACCTTCAACCTGAAAGAGTGCACTTATCCCCTTGAATCCGCTAGTGTTAACAAGTGTGACACATATTTAATTGATCACTCTCTTGGTTCTTCGTAGGTACACGAAACGAACATTTAAAAGAAATATATGTGTATATGAGTTATAAATAAATGTGGTTTAGAGATTAACCCAAGACCTCAGAATTCTTGGAACATGTTTTTAATCATTTGGAGATTATTTGCATAAGTGCTTCAGTGACTAATTTTTTTATCATTTCGGTTAGACTGACTCAATATTAGCTCAAACTATGAGATACCGTTAAGTTATAAACTTTTCTCTTCGATTAAGGTTTATAAGGCATCAATTATTGATACTAAACCCGTAATATGGAAGTAAATATATGACATGGAATATATATATATATATATATATATATTATATATATATATATATATATATATATATATACCTATATTATTATTATTATTATTATTGACGATTCGATCCAAGCATGTGGATCATCATCAGTAAAATATTTTCTGCCTAGGCAAGCATCAAGAACAAAAAAAAAAGAATCTGAACGGATGTTCTTAGGAATACTTTTTAAGATATTTTTATAGTAAAAGATTAACTAAGATTAGTGGCTTCACTTCCTTGATTCTCTTCCTCTTAGAAGCGAAGGCCTTCAGTATAGCCTTGCACATTTCGGCTTCTTTTCCATGACATTCATTTCCATAATGGCTTCAAAATTTCTGATATCTCGTCCATAGTTTTGATTCCTAAAACCACTTGGTAGATCTAGATGCATATATGAAACCACTTACCGTTGGTATATTACCAAATACAAATAATAAATAAACTCTCTCTCTCTATATATATATATATATACATAAAAAGTCCAGGAGTAGTCAGATTGCTACCTACATTTGATTAAAAAGTACCAGAATGTGACAAGCATATCGCATTGGGACTATTACTTGAATATAACATTTTCATTTAAATATGCTAACTGTAAATATGATTAATGAAAAAGAGTCTGTATGACAAAAAGGAATATTTTATTTACTTATATAATTATTAAAATGTTCTGATAATATTCCGTAACACTAACGTTTTAATGTGACTATTGTACGAATAAAATACTTTTAAATTAAACTTTAGATTATTACAAAATAATTAAGTAAATTTAATTATTTTTAAAGAAAGATTTCATTTGTTGTAACACTAATTAAATATTTTAATTTACACATTTTTTATAAATAGAAAGTACATTTCAGTTATTATTTTATTGCATTACAGACTAGATAATCATAGGAAAATAAATAAATAATATTTAATATTTTTTTAACAATTTTTTGTAATGATTTTGTTAAGAACTTCGCTGCTTACAGAAGAGGGGCTTTCATCGAAACTACGAAACTAGTA